CACTTTACTAGTAAGTCAACCAAACACAAAAAATGCATCTCCTAGCATAAATAAATGCGTACTTAGCAAGGGAAAACCTGAAGAATGTTAAACTCCACATATACGCTATATACTTAGTTACTTCTACTTTCTAACTATCCAAATTTCTCAATGTAACCACTTTTTATCGGTGGAGAATCATCCATCTCGTTTATCAACTATAATTATCTACAACCTAGCCAATTAACAATAAGATATTTTTTTTAATGATCTAAGTTACTTTATAACACAAGCGTAACACGGCATTGTCATGACAACTTCGGGAGTGTAGCGGACCTCGGGTTGGCTTGTGAGACCAGCCCCTTGGCCTGTTCTCACAGGCCTGTGTTGTATTCGGGGTAGGCCAATCCAGGCTGGTACCTCTGTCGGTACCAGCCAGTCCAGTCCAGTCCCGTCAGTCCGCTGGGGTATACCCCAGCCATTGTCTGTTTCACGCTCATTCTTCACTTGCACATTTTGAAGTACGTGCGTTCGAGTCTTGCGTGGGGAGCTGCGCTGTGCACCTTGCTCCCCTCCTTCTTCCTCCATCTCCATCTCTGTCACTAGCGGAGCACCACACCTGGTGGGTCCGCTACATTGGTATCGGAGCGGGAACGGTCCCCGCCCCCACCCACCACACCGCACAACAGGGAAATACGGCAAAACCCGACAGTCGGGTTTTCGGCTGTTTTGGGGGCGTTTTCGGGCGAAAAAACGGGAAAAACAACGAAAAAAGGTGTTGCAGCAGGAGCGCTCCACGTGGCGAAAAAGGAAGCCGCATCACGACGCGGCGAAGGCCAAGGCCGCCGCACGCGCGCGCGCGCTGCGCGGCCCCGCTGCCCCGCCCCGCTCCCGGATTTATATTATCAAGATCCGGGATGCAACTGCTGCTGCTGGGGTTTGAACCCAGGTGGCTGCTGGGCCATGCGCGTGCGTAAGCACCCTGCTAACACACTCGCCACAGAGTGTACATGGTGGTGTAGTGCGGCACACTCGTGTTGAAGTGGTGCCGTGCTGGCTATTTACCCCCCTCCCCCCCCCTCTTCCCTCCCCC